TAGAACTAGCAAACGTACGGGAAAGAGTAATCAAAGAAAAATACAAACGAATGGTTTTTCTCACCAAATATCATAAACCTCTATGGCCATCAGATTTCCTGAGTTAACGTTATGTCGACATCAATACAGTTTATGGTAATATAATAATCAAGCGGGGCGATTTTGAATCCTGATCTTAACTGAGTAGAGCAGCAGCGCTCACTCCACTAGCGACTAACCACCGGATCTTGCGAGCTATCGTTTTACTTTTAAGTGCAACTGTTATATTACGGAGCGGGTCGGGAAACAGGTGAACTCGTATATCTGCCGTAAAACGAGCGCAGTATACAAAAGCCTATTCTCGAGCCCGTCGTGTAGCAAATATTCAGCTTTATTTCGTTAAATAAATATACGTAACAAATAGCTTCAACAGGCGCAAATTGGAGAACATTAAAAAAGTATTCTTCACTCAAACGACAACTTCATAGACTTACGAAAGTAAATGTGATGAGTTTCTGTTTGGGTTACGTTGGGCAGGCAACGTACGTTTCCATAGGCTCTGAAAACCGCTTCGTGCAGCCTAGAGAGACTTCGATGCGTGAAAACAGCGTAAACCACTAAAGATAGAAGGAATAGAAGTGAATGAAAACTCTTCATTCTTATTAACATAATAATTTGAACTGGTGTCATAGTTGTCTCAAAAAAAAAAGACCACAGGAGTATCATAGATGTTCCTAAATGTCGTTGCCGTGTGGAAACCCTTTCTGCGGTAGTTAAGATGGTGATTTATGCCGTTAGGAACAGTGTCTACTGTGCCATATAGCTTAGCTATGCATGGACCAATAAATATTAAGGTCCCTTCGACAATACCATAGCCACTTCTGGTCCAGCAAGTGACCTGCACACAGAGAGCCTTCAAGAGACGAAAACTTATACGGTCGGTCGCTGACCATTTCCGCAAGTGCTACGGCCCTTTTGTTGTTTAAGCTTAGAGCTTTTTGCTCGGTAATAGTGGAAATTAGCCCTTTATATTGCTCTCATGATTAACCCTTCAATAGTGAAGTATAGGCTCTACATTATCACTATAATTATTACCAGTCATTGAGGCAATCATCTATTTGCCTTGAGATATCGATATTTACATAAATTAGTATGCATCCTAAACAGTTCAGAGCCTCTGTTCAACAAACCTTTACGCAGACTATTATGCATACTATAATCTCATTACGTTCTTGATAATAAGCCGTTTTCATATTAAACCGTTCCTATAATATTGACATCTTGCTATACATACACTTGCTGTACTATAATTAAACAGAAAATCAAGATCTTACCCCTTAACTATAAAAGTGTGGTTTACCCCATTTTTTCAAAAACTACCTTTATGTGCACTTTATAGAATTTGATTAGAAAGCTTACTTTATTGTTGACAAAACTCATTTCCAATTCGTAAAGGATTGTTTTATTGGAGGCCTATAGTTGTGATACTGTTGAGAACCTGTTGTATTCCTGTATTCCAGGCCAGCTGCCTCTCTATAGTAATTCGATTTCAGTGGTTCGGTCCTTCCATTGCCATACCTTAGTGGTCGCATTATCTTGGCGTAGATAGGCTTTGCTACAAGCTTGTTACAGTGATTGAACACATTCAATCGAATTTATAGGTAAACCATCCATCAATTGCCATTAATCTGTTACCACAGTGTATTCTATGCATCCTGCTACCTGGAGAAATAACTGATTAGGACTGCTAAAATTTATTCACAGTTCATAGACTTAAGCAGCGGCTTTTCTCATATCCTCGTTTTCCAAGTTCCTCACACATATGCAGTTACTCTTACTCTCTTGTTGAAACGTGCTTCTAACGACATGTCTTTTTTAGTTTAGTACCTTACAAGTTCTCAATTTTTTCCCCCAAGGATCACAAGTCGGATATTCAGTGTAAGAAACACGTAGGAAATATGTTTGTTTCAGAGCACAAATCCGTGCTTATTTTGTGGAACTAAAGAACAAATATCTTCTATATAGAAACCATTCACAAGAAAAAGGCTTGAAAAGTCCAATCTTGTGGAGAAATTGTTCTTTGGGAAAGATATTCGGCCACTTGCCGAAAGAGACCACCGGCGATCCTCTTCAGGATGAAGCTATGCTACAACAAATCAGATTGAAGCGATTTTTCATTCTACACTAGCGACTTTAGACGAATATGCAGACACCTTGTAATGTACAGATAATGTATAAATAGATATGTTTAAATAAGTAGATTGCCATAATCGGGTAGATATATGAAAATAGACACATACAACGCTCTTAGCTACATGACAAAGCTATTTTTGGAAGATCCCCTTCTGAAAAATACTATTAGTTCCGCAACATAACTCTTACAATGCACTAGCGCGTAACGACTTTTCGTTGAACTTTACTCAATCAATCCACCTTCTTTTTTTCTCCCTGTTTCCACAGAGTTCTTCCCAGCAAACATAAATGCTGCACTAGAGCAGCAATAACAAAAAAAGATCAATGGTTGAATATGATCATTTCATAGTTAGCATATGTCGAGGTTCCGTCGGTCGTCGTCGTTGGCTCGGTTCGTGGCATTCTCCCTTTTCACTCCTTGTCTCGTTTTCATCAAGGGGGTTACAAGTCCCCTCCTCACTCCACTCTCCGTGCTTCCCGTTTGTTGATGACTTTTTGGCATCCCAGTCTGATTTCCATTACCCTATCGTACTGCCATCGTTGCTTTATTCGCGACTGCAATGGGAACAAATGAACTGCCTTTTCACAGCGGCCTGTTCGCCGTTGCTATCGATTCCGTTGCCCGAACCGCCCAGGACCAGCATCGGGAGAGGAGGCAGCGACCGATGAAATAGCGGATCTAGAATAGGGCAGGCCTAGAAAAGGAGGTGCAGAGTAGGAGTATGTAGAAAAGCGAGAATGGAAACCGGGAACGACGAGAGACACGAGGCATGCTCCACAATGTGTGTGTATGTATGTATGTAAGGTTCCACGGCTTTCCTGAAAGATCCCCAACCCAAAAGAGCTGACTTGCCCGAACCAGCCAAACTGGGCCCTCTATGATTACTTTCACACCAGCGGTTTGTCGTTTCCGTCTTTTTTCTCGCTTGTTATCTCTCGTTGTTTCCCTATCTTCAGACCGGCGGCCGAATACTGTCGGTGTTGTTAGCTCGGCCAGAGGACAGCTTTCGCAAAAAAACCAAGGATTCTACAGCAATTCGTTTGTCCGTCTGTCGAAGCTTGACGTTAAACGTTCTTGCTGGTCCCCATGCCTTGTCTGCTTGTTTCGCACTTTACGTGAGATCAGAACAAACGGCTAAAAGCGAAAACGCCAACCTCATTGGCCCGATTCCGGAAAACTTGGTGTCGTGGTCATGGCACCAGTAAAGTATCGATAGGCAGCAGCGTAACTACAAAAGCTCTGCGCAAAGTGTTAGTGAACGAGGGATTGTCGCTAGGTCCTTGCGTGACTTGTCCCTGTTCCCGTATGCCTGCCGTCTCCATCTCGCCACCGGTATTCCTTCGTTGACTTTTTATCAACAAGCCCGCTTTGATAGCTTCAGCTTCTGCTTTCTTTTTCTTTTTTGGCTGTCGCGCAGATAAATTCAGCCATAACAGCAATTACAGACAGAAGCAATCAAATAAAAGCAGTCAACACAAATAGCAACAGCGCTAGCAAAACATCCAGCAGTAACTGCAACCTTCCGCAACGCTCAACAAATAAAGAGCACTCAAAGATAAAGCAGTCGGACACAAGAAATGCTGGACTGTGAGAGTTCGACGTGTTGCCCTGCCACCAGTACGTTAAAGCTACCGCGGTGTGCCGTGGATAATGCATCGGTAGCAGTTGGGCGGACGGCACCATGGTGCTTGTAGGTTCCCCAACGCATTTTATTTTGAACCTGTATTTTCATTGTGTTGAAAACAGTGTCTGGAAGCAGAGAGGGAATCTGCTAGATGATGAAGTGAGTAAGCAAAAATAAAGTACATCTGCGTAAAACGTAAAGCGAACGTCAATTGCCAGTTGGTGTTGCTGTACTCGTTTGAACAATCCCGCCAATGGCAATATACTCACTTCGATGTATAAGTGTCTTCTGAGATGTGTATACCTATTTCTATCTGCCCATACATGTACATACAACGACGCACTCAGCTAGTCCTATGGTACTGTACATCGCTTCTTTTTGGTGTTCCCTTTCGGTGATGCAAACAAGCAAGTGAACGGCCCTCCAGGGCGCATTTTTTTGATTCGTATACTTAAGCCTCTCGTTGTTATATTACGAAACCTTCGAGGCGTACTTCTTTTCTGTTCGCATTTAGCGACCAATTGCTTCTCCTGTTTTTCGCTGCTTTGTGCAGATGACCATAGCTTCCATGAAGGCTTTACCCTTGTCACCGACCGCCTAGCCCACTCGAACGAGTCTTGGTGCTATATAAGGCAAGCTCCCCAAAATCTTATGAGGCAGGCCGTCTCCGCGCATGGCGTTTTGTCTGCCGAACATCTAGGCGACAAAAGTTTGATAGGTAGCCCGACTTTCAATAGTGTCACGCTGCCTAAGGGAGGCTAGGCAGACTGACCGTGCCGTCTCAGAAGTGGAAGGGGTCATGGGACACCAAAATACGAAGTGATGAAGAAATCGAGCAAGAAGAAGTCGAGCCTCAATAGAGAAGCGAGGGGGCATAAAATGACTACTGGCGAAAAATAAGTAGAAGCACCATTGCGATGTAGGGGACGATAAGATGAAAGATAGAGACGTGAGTTGGGTCTGGAGTTGGGTGGCAGGTTATTGGCGAGTTACCGTTATCGCTTCTTTTGCTTTTAACACGTATAGTTTTTTTGCCATTTTTGCTTCCATCGTCTTCGTTACTGCTGCGCGTTACCCCAATCCACTACTCTTGCCCTTCTTCGGTTATACAGATACGATTTTTCTCCTCAATGTTCTTTCTCTTTTTGCGTTTTTGTGCGTCTCGTCGCTTACACGACAACCCTGACGGCGGCATCGCTGCAGGCACTATTGGCGCTGTTCTGGGAATACATTTCGGGGCGACATAGCAAAAGTAACACACGTTTAGGTCGCGGCGCGTTCAAAACGAAGCATAGAATAAATTTCGACGTACTTTTTGGCACCAGCGGGACACGCTCGGCTTGTCCTGCCAAGCGGCTGTTAGCTGACAGCTTCAGGTAGGTGGAGAAAGTGTAGATAGGATATCGTAAGCGAGCGACCGAGTAACTTAGCGACTCCACTGCCAACAACGAGCCTACCGGTAGCAGAGCTATTATTGAAAAGTAGTGAATCAAACAGGAAAGAGAAACTGGGGACAGAGGGCATCAGGCGTACACGCGTTGCTTTATTGGACGCCTCTGGCAGATGACAATCTGTGGAGCTAGTCAGCGCCCCAACGGCTTGGTTCTCGGAGAAAACACGAACGAAGACTTTGGGGTAGTTCGGCATAGCTCGAACGCGGTGTGGAGCCTTTGGGAGTTTGGGCATTTGAGTAGTCAAAGTATGAAGGTTCTGCAAAAGTATTGCGTGTTTGCTATTACCCCCGGCAGTTTTTCTTTTGCTTTTGCTGTACGTCGTCCTTTTTCACTTTAGTATCGGGGCAGCGCTTCGTCGTCATAGTTTCCCTCAGAATTCATCTGCTTGAGTGAACCATGTGTCTCTAGCTTGATAGCGGGGCCAGAGAGACATGAGGAAGCTGACCCTAAACTGTCTTCCTTTTGTGAGAGGCCTTCGGACCGCTGCATAACTTCAATTATTTATTAAACTTAGAGATCGGAACAACTGAGAAAAAGTGAGAATTATCGTATTCATCGGTGTTCACATTGTCCGGAGTTTTAACTGGACAATCAGGACATGTCCTCCTCCGTATTCAAATCTAGGCCATCCCCGTATACCCTTTCAATTATTAAAAGAATGCGTTACCACTACATCATAATAAAGAGAGCTAACCTCAAGTTGCTGGAAAGCGACTAGGCCTAACAAATTTCTGACGACGTATTTAAAACTTCCTCATGCAACTTCGTTTGCCTGTCCTGCACTGGTAAACATAACTAGACATCTACCTGGAATTGAAGAAATCTGCACCAAGACCCGTTGAGTTGTTAGCTGTGGTTGGAGACTGGAACTTCGGCGACGCGAAAAAGTTCGAAAAACGCGAATCCTGTTGGTGCATCCCCACTGAGGAGTGTCTCCGCACCGGTACGCCTAAACACGCGGGAAAACAGCCAGGCAGAAGCGCCAATAACATCAACAAAGTAATACAAAGTTTCTTAAGCATCATTCTATTATCACATGGCCATCTCTAAAGCTAATTAGCATTTCAGATAGACCGAATATTTTGAAACACGTGCGGCATGCAAATACATATTTTGAGATCATTTGAAAACACTACGTTTTGCTACCTGATGAGGTATAGCCGAGAGGGGAACCCGTGCCCGGTGAGCAGGGCGCGACGAGTATCCGTGGGGGCTGGATCGTGTTGTCCGAGTGGCGCCTACCAGGAAGCGTGGCTTGGACACGCAGGAGGTTCGAGTCCGGTGAGGATGAAGCTGAAATGTACGATATACGACGTGATCAGCAGGCAATTATAGCGATATTCCGATATCCGTGCTACTAAGGACAAGTTGAAAAGGCGCCACCGAGGTTAGTGATGATGACATGGAACATAATAAAAAAGACCTCTAGCAAGTTCAAACATAACAACTACGTTTCCAACTTTAAACACACTTAACATCTGTGCGGTGAAGGCGGAACAACTACATACGTACTAAAGGAAATACTCACTGAAATATTCTACGTGTTGGTGACGACAATAGTGAGTCATACAATATCTTCTACGCCAAACTTGCGCGCTTAGTTAGTAATTAATCTTTTGGTTTCATACGAGCTAGTAAATACGTATGAAACCAAAAGATTAATTTTAAAAGCACTCTACGTATTAACAATGAACATATGTCCAGGTACAGCTATAAAGTATAATATAAATAGGTTATAAAGTGTAAATTCTATAACAAACAAAAGAAGAATTGTGTATCATGATTGCATGTAAATTGTCCTGTCTTAACTTTCTATTAATTCATAATGCAGATTAAATCATTATAATTCTAAACGTGTTCGGGTATCTACGATGTGTATATGTATAGATCGCATTGGCTGCACATATGTATCGGCATTAACCTCAGCTTTCAATCGGCTACCATTCTCGAGCGACCTGAGAGAGCAAAGCAATGCTGCACATGTACGAGACTAGGTGCCAGTACCGATGCCTTGCCCATTCCACACTGCAGGCCATTCTTCCGAACTTATCCGAGTTTCTATTTTTCCGCGAAATTTCCGTTCCTGTGCCCTCACCGTCACACCAAGAAGGGGGCAGCTTCTGCAGTAGCTACACCAGTGACAACGCCTGTAGAGCAGGTTGTTCCAGATGGATCGGTCGCCTTTGTCCTAATTATGCGGCGAGCAAGCTAGTAATCTGTAGTTCTCTCTCTCTCTCTCTCTCTCTCTCTCTCTCTCTCTCACAAGTGGCAAAACTGAACAGTGTACAGTTACGCTTGATCGTTCTTTAGGAATAGATAGATGAGTGAACACTATGGCCATGTTCATACGAAAGGTAGATCACACAATTAACCGACTGGCAAAGGTACAGTTGACATTTAAGCGACTATTATGCTGTTCCAAAACATGCGTCTTTCTGTGTGAATGTTGTGCTTGGCCAGGGTTCTGGTCTAAAGCTGCCATCTAACGGCGTCGTCGGTGAAAGCAGGTGTATTAGTAGCAAAAGCGATGGTCTTCAATTGCGTTTCAAATAAAGCAACGCTAGTTGACATTAGGTAAAAGACAGGTAGACTCCAGCATACCTGCTGCCTTATCATCGTTATGACGTCGGTATTCGGCCTGGACTCGAACGATTTGAAGCAAGTAAAGCACGAGGTGTACTGGGGTGCTTCGCCAAACAAAGGCAACATAGATACGAGTTGTTATCATCGTGAAAGCGAAGCCGCTTCGCGTGTCCAGGAAATGGTCAGCTGGCTGGTTAGTACAAGTCCTGGGAAAAAGATAATCACCACTAACTTTTTACGCCAGAAAGCGAGCAGCATTAGTGCCCAACTACGATTTGTGCGCTAGCGCTCCGTTGTAAGGCAGAACCCTCGTTTTGCGAAAATTAACCTTTGTGTACCCTTTGTTACTCCCCGCGTTGACCTGTCGACCCAACCTGCACCACTGCATAATTATCTGCCAACGTATTTACCCGCTCTCGCCAGCGTGATGCCTTCGAGCTTCACGCGCGCTTTCAGCATACCTTGTCTGCCGGTGGCCTACGCTAGAGGCAAGCGATGCCCCAGCAATCGAGCCAAGTAGCTATCTACACTATTTCGTTGGGTCAGCACGACTTCACTGCTTATGCAGAGGCGATTTACATGCCTCAGACGTCCAGCTTCCAATGCAAAAGCAAGTGGGTGACTGTGGCAGCGCTGGCAATATAATCCGAACTGGGGAAAGCGAAATACCTGGACGGCGGCAAGAAAAGCCGGATTATGAGAGGGAAGAGACTCCGCGGAGGATAAATAACTATGGCGGGAGCAATAAGATAAGAGTCACAAGAGAAAACTGAAAAACGCAGCAGTGATTTGGCTTGGCAACTATGACGCCGTTTAGCTTAATTAGCGTAGGTGCAGGATTCGTATTGTTTATTACTGCCATTACTATTTCTGCTGCATTGTTCGTTGTTGAGGGAATTGGGCTGGTGGGAGTGAGTGGGGAAAAAGGTAATGGGACTGGATAGTTAGTTTAGGTATTAGACTGACTCTGCGGCTCGCTGTAAGCTACCGTTGTTCTAGCTGCCGTCCGTACTGTAGTCTTACTGGACCGTGAATTTCTAATACCAACTGGAGGTGCTCTATAAGGGCAACGCGAAGAGAAGACCCCGCCCACTGGTCAAATACCTGATGACACTAGAAGTTTTGACCCTCGCAGTAAAATTTATTGGCACATACTACATTAGTCTGAACCAATTCTACTTGATAGTAAATGTTTTTAGGAATACTTGCGAAAAGAAATAAAGATGGAGTCAGTGATTTGAAATAAATTGCTGCTTTCAACCCATTTACTATTACAACTCTGGTATAATATCAGCTTAATAATTCATTGTAGACAAAAACAATAAATCTGTACAAATCCTGCATAATTTCAAAATGTTTTTTTTTCATTTCATTTTCATTTCACATTTCAACCAACGGATGAGTTTTGGTTAATAAAAATTGGACCAATTCTTTTTATTCATTGGAGAAATATATCCATCAACAGTTCCCAAATATTTAACTACTTTCTATGCTTGCTAGTCTGTGTCATGGATCTATCAGGAGAAGTTTTTAACAAAGGTATCAAAATTCATCCCTAGATAGCAGGCTGGTCATTCTGCGTATCTATGTAAGTCTAGTGGATGACCGAGTAGAGATAAGCACGCATCTGTCTGTACGGATCGTAGGGAAAGTTGCTAAGCGCGCGAGTGCTGCTCACGAGTGCCCTTAGCGATTTGCATGGTGTCCTGAACGTCATTGTTAAAAGAACAGCCCCGATAGCTCGATAAAAATTTGTGCATAAGGGCCGAACGGTCTGCATCCAAGGGGACTTTAAAATTGAACGTTGGAGATATTCCAGGCCAGGCGTCGGCCAAAGGGCCAAATAAATTTGACTGTCTGCCATATTGAAACATAAAACGCCGATCAAATACGGTACCAACATTGTCTCCGTTTGATTATATGCTTAAATGTTCATGTCCTTCCTTACAAGATCACAGCCTTGTACATATGGTCTCACCAATATATTACTTCAATCATAACACACTTTTACCAGGTAGATCGTACTCTGTGAAGCAGACTTATATACACGTTTAATTATATCGACTCTTTTCGATGTACGTAATGTTCACCAATCTGTGTTCCTCATCTTCTTGTAGAGAAAATAACAATTCATTTTTCTTCCTTCACTTGTCGCCCGTTCATATATATACATATATTTTTTCCCGTTCACTTACCTGAACTACATGTTCTTCTGACGACGTCATCCATGGAAATAGAAGTACGCCTGGACTCAAGTCGCAATGATGGCGGACGGTGAGGGTATCCAGTCGGCTGCTCGATCGCGTGGAACTGCATTTGCATCTGCTGAGTGTGCACTGGAAGTCTGCAGTTGCCGCATCCGACGCGTCAGCAGAAGCAGCAACAGGCGCAGGTTGACGATAAGCCAGAGAGAGAACGATGACAGCGACGAAGACGACGGCGAAGATGATGACAACAACAACAACAACAACAACAAGTACGGATACGTACACGCACAAAACGAAGGACACGCACGTCACGCATCCGCCATGAGAGACAGAAAGAGATAGAGAGTGACAGGACACGCGCACACGTCGGAACACGCACCAACGAGAGATGGAAACAGACAGAGCGAGAGATCACACACAAGAGACCGACAACGGCGGCATCAGTAGTAGTAACAACGGTCACAGGTATAAACATACGGGAACGTAACACAGTAGTGGAGAAGTCGAGCGGGCGTAGGCAGATAAAGGACAGCAGTGCGGTGAGGTAACGGAAAAAAATGACAAAGAGAGAGAACAAGAAAGAGCGTGTAAGCGCAGAGATCATAACAAATAAGAAATCACAGACAAGAAAAGCGGAAGTCAGTCATTCAGTCAATTCGTCAATGAACGATATCAATTAGCTATCAATCGTCAGAGAAATTCAGATCTGTTGAATCAGGGCGAGCGAGTCTGCAGACGTCTACCTAACCCATCAGTACAGAGTCCTGCGCGAATATAATTCACTTCTTTCTCTATGAAACTAATGCCATTGTTTTTTTTGTGATATTTCGTCTATCATCATCATCACCGATTGATACATCACCGAGGTTTGGTATCTAACAATCATCAATCCATCAGTGGCTATGACGATCTATTAATCCGACGCCAACCTCAGTTGTAGTTATGGGTCCATAATTGATCTGTCAATCTTTAATCAATAATTTTTTTATAAAGCAGTGATTAATTGGCTGACTATTATCGACCGGTTAGAATCTCTCAAGCTCTTCCTTCTTTCTTTTCCTTGGTGGCTTGTGTTTCTGCAAGCCATTCTGAAATAAACAGATACCATTTCGTCTGCCCTTTTAGAGGAATTTTAGATGTGCTATCATTGTGCCACCGTAGATTGATGTGATCACAACTACTGTTTATGATGTAGTGACATGCATTGTAATAGATCAGTTATTAATTCATTCATTCATTCTAGCAGTCATCTATAAAACCAACAACTTGGGTCGATCAATCAATAATTCACCACTTAATCATTTTAAGATCAAGCCCAAAATCTCCTATCGACTATCATAGCAAATCGGGTCAGTCAGTTGTTTTTTTACCCATTGCTCGGATTGTATTGTAAACACAAGCGCACAGGCTTTTGAGAGTTGGGAAGGCTTGCGGAGAGCCGTTTGATATGCTATACGATAGTAATACTAATGAAAAACTTCTGGTTTAGTAAGTTTTACCGGTGAAACGTACTCAAAAAGTCAGAGAGAAAACTACTAGAAGCGTTAACGCAGAAAGACACTTATACTAATGCTGGAGACGACGTTCCACTTTAACGGAATGTAGGTATAGGGACGCTGTAACGCTTTTGCACTCTATCGTCGATGGAAAAATCGAGGAAACAACCCAAGTAGCGTGATACACAAACTTTCCGTGACGTAACGGAAGCTTACGTCAACTGGATGTGAACGGCGCCATTTCGATAGAGACATGCTATCCTCAACAATCTTATGGTCACGTTTACGAGGATCAAACATCAAATTCACACGTATGAGACAGCGGTTGCGTAAATTAGTCAGGTAAACTTCCGACAGATTACACAACGTCGTATAAATAGTTGTTGTAATACTACGTAACTAACTAAAACATTATTATATTTATATGGTATCCTAGAAGTCACACAAGCGAAATAGGTTTCTAAGGCTGTATTATTTATTTTTTCGTGCATTGTTAAAAGCTACTGCTATTTACTACAAACGGTCCAAGATCAAGCGTTATGAAGCTCGTGGCTTCTACTAGAGACGTAACCAATCGCCAAGATAAGGACAAAGCTTCGAATTTTCAAAAATAAGACCAGCACAGTTGCCCATATGTACACAAATTAAGGTAATATAACATAATTTGTATTGAAAAAACCCAAGCTATTTTCATTATGGTTCGGCGATTTGACTGTGACCGGCAGAGACGGCAGAGGTGGAACGTGCCGCAAACTACGATTCAGTTAGATTCTTGGTTTTTAGATGATTTAAGTGAGCGGGTGAGGAAGCTCAGTGGGAAGGGCAAGATTCGGCCCCAGTGAACATTTCTCATCAAATAGTCTCAGCTACTACTTTCAACTATGATTTCTTCCTGTTCTTCACAAACAGTTGAAAGAAGCAGTTGAACAGGAATATAGGCTTGAACAAGCGCTAACGAACGACCACAGGACGTTGTCGGTCTTCATCGGTCCAGAACGCTGGCAGAATTTTAGACGAGACGTATTCTATGTAGGGTCGAACGGGACTGTATCAGGGGTACCAACCTCTCTGCGATATCCGACTGTTTCTCGATCACTTTTCTATCCGCCGATGTTGAGCTTTACTCGGAAACAGCGGTGATAATTGAGCGTCAATCATAATGCGAGTAATATACTAATTACAGCAATGATAATTAAAAGTAAACCTGCATATCTTCATGTACATGTAAACAAATCTTTAGTTCATCTTTATCGCTTGTATATTGATTGTGGAGCGCGGTAACTAATAGAATGAAAAAAAACTTCACGCTGGGATGATGTGTTTTCGAAAAGCGGGGACCATGTTTTATTTCTCTGAGCAGAACGTAATAAGCCCGCGAAAAGGATAGAAAGGTTATTAATACGGTGCTTGAGCTGTGAACAATTGCTTTTCATAGAGATATCGAAAGCACAGATTAGCATACCGTGGATTAGGTGCTGGTCGTAGGGCCGGTGAAAACTACTGCGCCAAGAAATTAAATTATACGTTTGTATATATATTATAGGCCAAGCTGATTGACGTCGGCTAGAGAAGAAGAGGAACAAAGTGAGAGGAATATCTTTTAAAATCTCTCTATTAATGTTCTTAGCAGTTCGATAAGGTTGATAAGGAGAAAAATATTAAAGAACAGTGGCATAGTAGGCCAAGCAACACGGGAAGCTACACAGCAAATGTCGCCTTATTAAACCTTTGGTGGCTTACGCCGAACAAACTTTTAGGTACCCACCTACTCCGTTATTACCGTAACGGGCATCGTCAATTTAGCATAATTACCATCTCCTTGGGGTATAAGTTATAATTACGATGTGCTTAAGCCATAATACCAGCAAAGCAAATCTATCGTTATTTTTTATTCGTCGAGCAAATGTTTTCTAACTAATTTTCGAGCCTATTGGAAAAAATATTCTTCGAGGTACCTGAAATTCCCGGCTTCTTCGACATTTTCAAAATGCAGGCTGAGATAAAATTCAAACAAAGTTTTTAACACCGCCCAACAAGCCAACGCTAACATGAAGTTCTATCTAGAATCAAGGGATTTTCCCCAAAGCTACATCGGCTACCCCGCAGGGCTTAAATCAGGACCGAGACATAAGTGATGGGCCATCGTTTTCAAACGCCTTAACTAAATTTCTTGGATGTTTGGGTGCTGGGGTATGTTTGCCTTTGTGTCAGACTCTCTGGCAATAAGCTACGGCGCAGGACGGATATCAGGGAGAAGCAATTTTCTTTCGCAAATAATGTTTTTAACCGTAAAAAATTTGAAATGAAGATGTCACGATATTAGGCCTTTCCAATTTGTCGCTGCTAAGGTGATGTTGATGGATCCAGCCGCATGATGTACTTTAGTGCCTTGAACGCATAAGAGGCAATACGGAGCAGCAAAAATTTCGATGAAAGATTTAATAGCCTAAGAGCAGACTTCGCACAGATACCAGCAGTAGCTGTTAATAAGTTGTAGCACACATGTTAATTGTATGGTAACAAACTACCGAAGTACATATGTTGTGATATAAATCAGGATAAAATATCTCTACGTCAGTCTAAAAGCAGTGGGTGCTTTATTTACAAATCTAGACGGAATAAATTAGAAAAAAACATGTATCGGCCGAGATAAATCCAGTTGTTATTTTTTGTTTTCTTATTGAAATGTTATGTTTCGAAAAAACAGTAGTGTTTCTATATGTAGTGTCTGGAGCAGTTGTTGACGGGTTTTTCAAACTTCTTCATTGGGTACGACGTATTTGCAGTCCGGATGATTTGGAGACTTGGCGCAACTAACAATAGAATTACATATGGATTTTAGCCCCAGGCAAGACCGCTGGCGGTAAACTGTCCTATTGTGATAACATATCCGTTTCCTCGACATAACCGCCGTCTTCGTGTACGGCAAAGTTGTGCTCCTTGAGTTTAATAACCCACCGACAAATAAGCTAGGCGTAGAAAGATGACCAGGTGAGTCTTAGAATTCAGGGAGAAATAGGGCACATAAACATCATAAATAAACTTTGGATATCTTACTTGTAGTACATATATATATACATATAGATTAAGCAATCAATATATAGAGACTACAGTGGAACAAATAACCGAGATATGGAAAAATTAGACAGAGTGGTAAAAATTGTGCGAAGAGAACAAATTGCACAACTCTACAGACTTGTCCCATCAGCATCAGTTGCTTCCTTTACGAAAATGTAGGGTGATAGACCGTTTTAGTGAGAACGTGGTTTGTGGCGGTAAAGGTAAGGCTGGCATTGCGTATGGTGCGCTTGCATCGTTACATTAGCACAGCAAACTCAGATGGATAATTAGTACGGAAAATGACAGGAGAGCAATAGGATTTAAAACAAATAATAATGACACAGTCGATAAAGAGAGACCCATAGACACCAACAGGGTGTGTGAGATACAGAGGTAAGAGAAATACTAATCACTTCGATTGTGTGTGTTATGATCGAGAATGAACTGAATTATTGCTTGTCAATAAAATTACCAATGATGATGATAACAACAATAATTATTATTACTATGTGCGATGCCGGAGGAGACATGTCGCCCGAGTTTGAGCGTTGAAGTTTCGGTTCAATCGTTCGTCGAACGGGTGAAGGGTAGTGAAGGGATTAGATGTTGTAGAACGACTTCGTGATGGTTGAATGAGTAATGTGCTTAGTTGATTGAATTAGGAATCGGTGTGGTTCGACCGCGACGTACGATGACTGTTTCTCATTTTCTTTCAACCACGTTTACCTCACTTTGAGGGTGAAGGCAGTTTGAGGTCGCTAAAAAAGTCGGTAGATATCATACATATATCGTTCACTTATTAAGTGGGTGGTCGAATGGGCGCGGTAACTAGGCACACATACGTGGAACTGGATTGTATAGGGTATGGAATAAATTCTGGCAGCAGAGGTGGGTGTTTTCGTGTTCAGGAGGGCACATAAACTGAGGTATAGTTGCCAACGCTGCAACTGAGGTAGCAGCAAGAGCAAACTGCAAACGAGTGGCCAGTTGCAGTTTTATAAACGGTACAGAAATATGTGTTATCTAGTTAATAAGGTTCAGCTCGAAATTGCATAAAATAAAATTTTAGCCTCAGACGAATAGGACACTTTATTATGACCGCCTCAAAGTGCGCTAAGCATATATATATATGAGTACGCTCAAGCAACACGGAGCAACATAGTGTTTTTGCAATATGTACGGTGCGACAAAAGCTGTCCAAATGGTTGCGTTGTATAGTTTTCGCACAATGTATCTAGTTTTTTCGTGTGACCAAATTTGTAAAGTATGTTTAAGTGAGCTCCCAGAGCCTAAACTACACTTTACATGGTCGCAAATATGAAATGAATGGCCAAGGACATCAATGTCCTTCGGATATCTTTTGCAATACAATAAGTATCTCCTATCTCATTTTAATGTTCTCTAAACGTATGTTTTGCTACGTGGTTATGTATTGGTTAGCATAATAAGAAGTAACCCCAAAAAGTTCTAACTGTTCAATGAAAAGCTGACCCTCTATTGAAACGCAGGAGATAGAAGGCTAGATTGCAAAAACTAGTTCGAGTTAGAAAAAACCTTCGGCTATTCGCCAAGATATCACTGATCTCCCCACACTGATACATTCAAGTACTAAAATATCGATGTATTTCACATAATACGTGAAAATCAACAGCGACAATTGAAGCTAAATTACTATGAGACGCCACCGAAGTAAAGCTTCGCGGAATTAATTCTCCTCTACTGTTCTCTAAAAGTGGCCAAATACACTTTGTATAATTTGTCATCCACGGCGTCTTCTTCACAGCCGTTTCTCCGTTTTTGGCTAAATAACATATTGGCATATATGTGTAGATATATTTTTTACGAAGATGTTTTGTACATTGTATTCCTCTGCCAACCTAGGAACGCAGGACATCTAGACAGCCTCCCAAACCTCAGCCTAGCCATCGTAACAGAAAAGTAGAACTTGGACGAAAGTTCATCCATTGCGAAATTTTACTGACAATAATTTGTTACGATATACCAACTCATACCGCAAAATGGTCTATATACAACAGTTTCTTAATAGGGCTGACCGATAGAAAGATTATCAATCTTCTCTTACTTTACAACTTACAGTTCTGAAGAGGGCTGGAGGGAAAGTTTATCCAACTTAAGCTTGTTCCTTTGATTCTTAGACACCGCGTCTAACATTTCCTGACAGAGCTGCGTGAGCTCCTGGAACTGAAATCGCAAAGAAGCCGTGAAAGGTACGTCAGCTACACTTCGATCACAACCGTAAAATGCAGTATAGCGTAACTGCAGAGGAGACAGTTAATACTTCTTAATTGTCCTATTATTGACAGTGTGCTAAGATTCAGCTATGATAATTGTAATGGCTTTCCACTAAGAGAGAATTGATGAAAAACGTGTATCCGTTTTACCAGTCGCATGCTTGAGCCCCAGCGACAAGTGCGTCCATACCCGTCTTGCACGTCGCATCTGAACACATGTCTGTCTGGTAACTTCGACTGGTTAGACGCTAGGGATAAAGCAGACTGAGTGGTAATAGACGTAAAAACCTGCTTCTTACTTGGTCTAATTTGAGGGCCGGATTGACGGCAACAGGTATGAGCGCTGGAAGCACTTTGGTAGCGAGAAGGTGCACCGTCAGACCATAGCGCTTATCGTCCAACATTCGCTTATAGATGCCTGAAATGTAGGGAATTTGTACCAAACGTGGTAGGGGAGGACATATAGATACGTCTATTGTGACAGCTCTAAAACAGCACAAACGATATTATTGATCCAGGATTGTTTTTACAAAGTCAATAAAAAGGAACCCTATCACGAACGAACAAAGTATATTCTGCCTCCACGGTACAAGTACAAGTAAAAAAAATAAATAAATTTATTAATAGAAAAACATGAATATTTAGGTAATACGCGCACTATTACATAGATGCGTATATCTTGAATAGGTGCTAACGGATCTCTACGGAGTGTTCTGCTATGCTGTATCGGTGTGCAATCTATAAAACCCACAAAGCCACCTAGTTCACGGAAAATACGTCGTGGTTTCATTGGTGGTTATACCAATGCATCTGGCTTGATATTGCCTTAAACATGTCAGACTTATTACGCGTAATAAAAATTCGATACTATTTAAAGTTCATTAAGTTCATTTTAGTTATCCTCAGGTACCGTATACGTATAGGCAAAACACGATAATGACGCTGTAACTAGAAGAAGTTCGCTGCAATAAGGCCTCATGAACTTTGATATTTGAAAAATTAATCAAATACTCAAGTGATGATCAAAACGTAATTTTGAACAATGGAGATCAAAATTAGCTGGTGTTCCAAAATTCGGATACTTTCAAAAATATTTTCGGTTCCACAGGATGTATTTGAACTGTAGTTTCAATACATTGAATTTATACAATTAGTAGTAATTAAGCGGTACATTGTTTCCCATTAATCGGTTTTCTGTGACCAGTTACGTAATAAGAAAATCCGTCCAGTCATCACCATAGTTGAAGGGATGGTACATGTCTATCTAATGGGATACCCGACACCCATTGTTCTGTGTTACTTACGGACGACAGGCATTAGAATGGCTGGGTCGTTGACTTTGGCCTTTTCGAGCATTGGAAGTACCTGATCCAGCGTGTCGTTCTTTTCCAGTTTGTCCATGACCTGCTCGATGCACGTTAGCGCGTTCGCCTGTACCTGCGACGACATACTGTGAAGAGGCTGGAACCAATCAAGCGTTCATTTCTACGATGTTAGTCATCACTCTTTTATCGACATTTTATAGGGCGATACAGCATAGCATCAGATGACTCTGGGGAGAAAAGCATGCCTTAACATGTATTAGTTTTTAATAAATATTTAGGTTTTTATTTTTTTCTAGACATCTATATGGTTTGTACAGTTTCACATTCTAGCACAAACGATCAGAAGTATTTACACACTGATTTTATTAATCTAGTGTTGTATAACCACTCCTAACGTAATAGGCAACACGCCGTGTTAATATAGTGGTCACTATTAATAATGGGCCTGTACGAGTAGACTGCTTCTAGCCCGGGTAATTGAGACATCCAAACTCCAAGGTGATCCCTTGTGCGGCCGTTAAAAAAAGAGTTCAAAAAGAAACAAATTAGCCGAGTATCAAAAAAATATTCTACAGTTTCGCTTCCTATAAACGTATTCCTTACTAAATTTTCTTCGCAAAGGAAAAAAAAATCGCAAAATTGTTCGTAAATTGAATGACTGGTCAATAGTGATGCTCCCCACGGGATCAGCGGTCAGTATCGAATAAAAAAGGTATATAGGTGCTAATAAGAAAGACAGTTAGTAAAAAAAATCTGCGATATTTAAAATACCTAATAACAGGCTTCGAATAGGTTTCAGTTAGCGTTTCGGGCGCGCGCATCTTCACTGTTCGAGTACTTTCTATGCAGTGAGCATTCAGGTGTCTCCGTATTCAAGCATACAATTGCCCCAAAAAAGGGCTTTGATTCGCTACCTCGTTCTGTTTTCGTTGCAGTTGTGTACACAGGAACTAGCGGCATCTTTTCATGCTCTTAAGCATTAAGGAAGACCTCCCTGCCCTGCCTCCCATGAATGTCTGTCGCCTGCCGAATAGCTAAATACGTCAAAACGTCCTGTATGGAAGAAGCTGCTTGAAAAATAGGCGCCAAAGGTTCTCTATTGCTCTGATAGAACTACCGCACGAATCGGAATGAACAAGCCTCCTCGATAAGCGACTTGAAATTTAATGAAAAAAAGCAAAATCGCTATTTCAACGAGTATTTACCTCAACAAGTTCTATGAATCTGGCTTTTTAGCAGCAGCTGCCACCGCTTATAGGCAAAGAACGGACGAAGAAATTAGGAGTTTCCTGCTCGTACTGCATTTGTTGCCGAGTTATATTTTAGTAACATTTAGAGAGGCATGATCAGGTAAAGAACAATTTTTGCATAGCCCCTTATTTATCGATCACGTATAGGCACAAAGGATCGAGCAGGCCTAGTTTGGTTGAAAAAAATTTTTTGAGGAAATTGAATTTGAATAAAAGAGTTTATTATTAGTTTTGTTTTTATTCTACAGTAGCACATAGAATTAAACTACATTTTCATGATGAGTATAGCAAATTGTGGTTTCTACGCTAGCAGCGTAATTCATGTAAACCCTTCTGTATTATGGACTCGAAACCTTATCATGTTTGCTGCTTTTTTTTAACTACTTTTGAAATGTTCATGCCGTGAGCTTTTTGAGACGGCCGACAGATTTTCAGTATTTAACTAGAGACTGGAGAAAATAAGCCCTTTTGCCCGGAAAGCATTATCATTGCCCTTGTTTGCCGATCTGGTTAGCTAGTTTATGTGTCATGTATCATATACACAAAAGAAAAGCCTTAAGCTTTCCGAAGTCATCTGGCACTTTCTGAATAGCTAACTACTACCTGTTTTTTAGCTTCACGCTAGGTACAGAGTTGTTTAAGTAACTGGCTTCTTTCAACTAGATATATTGTTGTTATTTAGTTACCGCATCTGCAGCCGGTAGCTGTAATGGGAACACCTGACAGTGGACATGTCTTTTGACTATCCATGTCCTTATGCTATAAATGGCCCGACTGCTGAATGGCCCCATAGTTAACATCACCTCGCATCTGATCATCGTAATGTCAACGATTTTGTCCTTTACAAATGTCCATCAAATTACCCAGTCTACGTGCGGCCGTCGTGTGAGCCATAAAACTTTAGTGCCAGCCGGCCGACACTGCTCATTTCATTCTACAGACTTTTATAGTAAGCCGTTCATTAGCTATAGCTGGGACAGTGGTAGCTGCTGCTGTGCGTCTCCGATGTTTTGTTATATATACATACATTTACGTAGATAATTTTGACACTGCCCGAATATTTGGCCGCGTCAGATCAGCGTCTTCATGGCAGCTCATACCGACAATGGTATGGAGAATTGCTGAGCTCTGCGTACTGTTAGACAAGGCCCGTTCTGGACGGCCTTGGGCTTTGCGTGGGAGTGGCCGTCGCGCCGGGCACTGCCAAGTCAGATGCCTCACAGTAAAGCGTGAAGATAGTAATAGCTTTCAAGGATAATATATTTAAGCCAATGAAAGCAATGCTGTACGTGAACGGCGGATGTTTTTTTATCCTGTTAGCTTACCTGTATTTTTTTTATTATTATATCTCTTGAGAAGTATATATCGTACGCTTTCGGTGCGGTTTACACATTCACCGAACTGGTCGGTCAATTACTAATAGTGCCTCGATACAGATGCAGTGTAAATATATCCCACACGCACTATAGAACGCATAAAAAGCAAGTACCGTTTACGTAACGACGGAATTACGAAACGAATGATGCACCGTTACATGTCGCTGCAACTTATTAAAGAGTTCGTATTTTATACGCAAGCTGAAGGATAGGAGTAAACAGACGCTCGGGGGAATATACGTTGGCTTGATCCTCGATCGTTTAGCTATTGAATACCATTGTAGTCTACAGGCATTCACAGTTCATGGTAGCTAATCCTGAAGCGGACACAAGTTTCACACTTCTACGAACCTTTCGAGTCAAAAAGCACTCGCTTAAGTAGGGAACTTAGTTGAGAAGCAATAAAACAGCAACAATGGCATTTAACATTACTGTTACATTACCTGTCGTATTGCTGGCATAAGATTGTTATTCATTTTGCTACTGCCTAATAGAGAAACTAAGAGCTACTAATAATTTGCACAAGAAGACAATATAGGCAGTGCTCGATACCTAGGCTGGGCTTGATGGAGCTTAGCCACTTCGCTAAACTTTGGTGGGTGGTGGTGCGCTGCCGTTACTGAGCGGGTAATAAGAAAAGTGGCTCAGTTTACAAAAAAATTAAACTTGCACGACGACCCAGTCTACTCTCAATCGCTGCTACCCGACCGGCCGACCGGGACACACTTCCCAAAACATTCGAATTCAGGAACTCTGTTGCTAGAGCAACAAAGACACCAATCACGTCCGTGCGTAGACATCTCTCCGACAAGTGATTTGAAGCTTCCTTGTCTATTTCCAAGTCCATGTGCTGTCTGCTCGTGGAGACGTGAACTTACTCGTTGCTTCTGGCAGCAGCACAAGACGGTCCTTCACAAAGCGCCCGCCCTCTTCTACAGCGGAACCCTAGTCCAAATGTCGCTGTTTATGCCCAAGGGCCTCCTTTTACCTCTTACATGTGAGATATGTGAAAAAAGAGAGAGAGACATTATTGTAATGGAGTACAAGGGCATTTCGAAGCCTTATGATTCGGTCTGGCAGGCCGATGAAGAGGGATGCGAACGGCCGCTTTTCTGGTAGCAACAGCAGCTTCTAATTCATTCACATTCACTGTGGCGCCGTGCCCTGTTATAGCGTGATAGGGGGTGAGTCGGCTCCCTCCTGCTCGCGCGGTTTGCAAAAATAGTAATCCGGAATAAAAAAAAGGCTGCGATCGTATTAGGGATAATTCGGATGAATGCTGGTGCTCGACGAGATAGAAGAGCTGCTTACATGACCGATGCTCGACAGTGAAGCTGCTATTGGGGGATGAAACAAAGCAGTAGTAACTATCTCATACGCCTCTACATCCGTTCACCCGTCACACAGAAACGACACACGGCACTCAGTCATGACAGTTTGATGCTCTTTGATCACCGAGTTCTTAAAGGTTAGTAAAAGCGACCGCTTCGACTTGCTGATTTAATCATTCCCTCATGGACAACGGCAAGGAGCTTTTTCGCGAAAGCCTCAATGTATCGGTCCCCGCTTTATCCATTCTCTGACTTTCGGACCAGCCGTGCTGCCTTTGCCCTGCATGGCACTGACATCTACCGTTCTTTTTTCTAGGCTCATTTAAATAAGTCCCCCGCTAAATTTCCTACTAAACATTACCGTCATCACATCAACGGGACGAGGATTATGGTCTGATTTCAATTTGAAAGATTTTCATTTTCTAAATAGGGCTGTCCGTCTTACGGATGCACATAATATGTGCCAGCGTTTACACAACTCAGCGAAGAACATTCAGAGTCAGAAAGAAAAAGTCGCATTCTATTCAACAGCCATCATAAATCTTAGCTTCATGGCAAACGTATATCTAGAAAATTTACGATGTACATATACTTCTTGTGTATTGTCTACAAATATCCTAGACATGTGAATGAATAAGGCCATTTTTATATACTTTTTGAGTATTTCCCGCTGCTTAGTTATGGCTCAGCCGATGTACAGTGCAAGTTATCTTACTCATAATAGTAATTAATAACTTTTTTTTTTTACAATAACCAATATATGATAACCTGGCTTGCTCTGCGAAATTAGACTTCTGCGTTTGGCTTCATATGTACGGGCTACATCATTTGAAGTAACACTGCGTCGAGGTACTGGCTAAGACAAATCTACAAACGGACTTCAACAGGGATGGTAATCATTTATTCAGTGGACGCACAGCATTTTATTCAATACGAAGTTTGCAACATAGCGTAACACGTACATTTGAAAAATGAGGGGGAAAGCCAGGCCCGTCTTAATTGCTCAGCCAAGTCACTAATTATTAGCTAAGGGCTTAGCTAAGTGTTCAAAAAAGATGTGTGGTTTTTTCTATAAAAGTGCATATCTAAATTAAGCATGATCATTTTTTCTTTCCTATATATGATAAATAAATCAAGATCCCTTGACGACATAAGCAATTTTTTTATACATACGAAAGATGTTAGCGCAGCACAATCCCCATAAGCGGTCATCTAGTAAATAAAAAGCACAATCATTTATCTTTTCAGTGCTTTAAGCTGGGTACCCTATTCGATACTCAGTTGTTCATTCTTAGCGGAACGTTTGTTCTCTGCTCGCGTATTTTCTTGGGCTTTGCTTTGAATTTTTTTCAAATTTTTGTTTTAAGTACGTGATTACGTAAAAATACGTGCTCCCTACTCGGAATCCTGCGATCCGTAATAGGTGCTCTGGCTGGAACCGATATTTTCTGTATAGCTCCTATATATCTTTGCATTGAGCATTTGTCTGTCGCGCTGGGTTACCAGCTGGCTAAAAACTGTTATTAAGTGAGAAGTGCTTTTACCATATAAAAGCATTTCGACGTGCTCGGCCACTGACCCACTGTCTCATTCCCACCTAAAATGAGACTCGGACCTTCTGTTCTTAGCTGAAATGGGTTTACCGCCCGCTACACTAATGCTTTTGTTCCACCTATCGTTATGCATGTAGGTACAATCATGTGAAAGTGCTATTCAATAGAAACATCTGCTTCGTTAATACCTAAATGTGCTAGAAAAGAACAGACTTTCCAATTTAGTCCGTAATGTTTGTACGAATAGGTGCCTCTTTGTGTTTACCGATCTCATGTTACTGGCTACGTATAGAATCAGTAACTATTACGCATACTAGGCCAAGCCAGTGCCATTGCGGCTATTCTGCTATTATTGCGACAAATATTTCTATTCGAAAATATTAATTTTATGGGAGACCAACAAGATGCTCTTTTGGAATCGGGTCTTTTAGGAAAAGTAGCCCCCTTTTCTGTGCTCTGTATCTGTGTCAGCTTTCTTCGCTCACCTTTTGCCCAGAGTTGGTCTCGAAGACGGACCTCGTACGGGGAAGAACCATCTTACGAACGGCGTTCTCGTCGAGGAACTCGGCGACATGGGCGGCAGCGCGTATCGAGGCGCACTGGATCTGCGGTGCCGTTGATTCAAAGGAATTATATACCATCGGAAGCACATCTGAGCGAATGTCTGCTTTGGGACTTTTCGCCATTAGCACTTCGATGTTTTCCAGCAGGGTCACTGTTGCCTGTAAGACGACAGTGCGGATACACGTATTACAAGCAACGTATGCGTAGAAACCACCAAGTACAATTACCATAGGTAAGAAAAACTACAGATTTTGTGTTTAGGTTTAGGCTAGAAGCGAAAAATGCATAGCCCCCATAATAATAAGCAGCAGGTACATAGCCCAATCAAGCCTGTCAGATTATTAAGGTTCCATAAAAGAGAAAATACTAAAAATGTTCTTCTTTTGGAGTTTTAGTAATTAAGCGTAAAAACAGTAAAAGGTACAACTATTCGACCGTGTCTTTGTATCGATTTATCTAAAATTATTGTGTTGACAACGACGTGGCGTTCATCGAAAAACGTACGTATTCCCCCAAAGGCGATCTGAATAATAGCTTGCGCAGTTGTGCATTAACATTTGGACATTCTTAGTGAAAATAATAATTAGTTAACATGTCGTATTGTTTGATATGTTTACGGTCTATAATGTTACCACGAGTCCTTTCGTTAGCCGGTTTATTTTGGCAGACCATGTCTGGATGAACGTCCGCGTCTTCAGCCACACCTCAAAGCTAAGACAAGCTTATAGCAGTTTGCAAGAAACTGAAGAAAAGCCAGAACTTCAAGGTTTTCCAAAGTGTCTCGTACGTCTATTTGTGTGCTGGGACGGATCTTATTTTTTGTCCCCTAGTAGAATGTGCACAGTTAGCTTTACCTTATCTGGCCTTGTTGTTCGTTGAAAAAGTTCGTTGTACTCTATTTGACGACTCGGCGACCTTCGGTCGACCATAGCACGATGCTAAAAAGTGGAAACGAAGGTTGAGTAAACGGGGACTGCCTATCGGTTTTGGGGCCGACATTGACGGAGAAAACTACCGAGCGCCTGTTTTTCTCGTATGTCTATTCTCCACTGAATTTGCTCGATTTGTGTGTGGTTGCCGCTGCAATGTTCGTTCCTCCTTCTACCGTGATCTTGCTTGCCTAACGGCTGGAGCGGACAAAAACCCCGTTACTTCATCGTCTGACGGCCTATTCTTGAACGTAAAGCAGTTTTCCCGCACTCTCGGCCCACATCCAGCCATTGCACACATCAACACTGCGTTTTCTATTCTCTTTTTCAGTCGTATGCATAATGTAACTGGTAACGCATATTTGCTTTGCCCAAAGACAACAACGAAGACGGCTACGCCGGTAGTACTGGCAAAGCCGTCGCATTCTTGAATCCCGCTTCGGGCACCCTGAACGATTCGTTCCCAGTTTTCCTGAAGGAGACGGACTGTGTTTTTGCTCGGGTGTCCTGCCGGTTCACTTGGGGCTTCAATGAGGACTCAGTGGGGACCCGTATTGCATCCTTTATAAAAATTTCCTTCTATATGGAACTACGGCTGTTGTTGTCTACTTTTCGTTGAGAACAGTGTCCGTTGCAAATCAATGTAAAGAAGACAATCAAACACATGGAGTACGCTGTAATTCACCAACGGAGAAGCAATAGCGAAGGCCAGGACAATAGCGGAAATACCGAAGGACTGACGCAATGTTGTCCTGGACATCCAGTCAATCCTTATCAGTGAAGGTATCCAATAGATACAATAACTTATACGATGTTAGATTAAAAATTCGAATGTGGCTCAATCGTAGCTAACTCTTCTTTTTGTCTAGGGATTTTCAATGTGCGGCTGCGAAATCTACATGTATACGCGGGGAAATCCGCCTTGCCCCTCTGTACCCGTTGTTTGTCCATATGCTCTTATGTGTTTGAGAATCTTATTTGCTTTTCTAGTGCTACAATCAGGTGGATCTATTTAGTTACGATCGAAGAAGCGGTCAGAACAAGTAGGCGGTGGAGGAACGTCAATAGTATTGCACTGCGTGGATCAAAGCCTTTTTGCATAGTATTTTATGTGATTTCCTTTGTTTAAATTTCCCATTTTCGATTCTGCAGTTATACATGGTAATGCTCAAAGACTAAGTCTGCATGGTACCGGATCAGAGATGCCATCATTACATTAAGTTGACTGACCGTCTTAGTAGCTGGAAAAGGCGAATGCTTTTCTCTACAGTTGGGATCAACAGGTAGATAGTAGAAATGGCCAGAAGAGCTAGGACCCTGTCAGCGTCCCAAGCGCTTTCCGCTCGACGCTCTTGCGGTGCAAGAGAAATCCAGCGATAAGGAAGAAAACAGGCGCTACAATCCAACTAGAAGAAAATTCATTTTTGGGGATGCAAAGCTATGAACTAAGTAGACAAAAACGTATTGCTGTCACAATGCATGGTGGGCCGTTCTTAGGCAAACGTAGGTTCACTAATCGCTGCATTAACATACCCCTGCATTCGTCTTAGGGTCTCACCTTTTTATCTAACACCAGTGACAACTAAATATGAAGTCTGCTTAACGAGAGCACTTGGATGGATTTAGAAGATGGTAACAATCAGTCTTGACCTGCTGGACCCGATCCTGTTGAGTACGCTATCTGAGTTATGCACGTAGCTATATCCTTTAGTGTTTGCTGCGAAGTCACTATCAGTACAAATGGTTTATGATCGTTGACGTCATCACACAGAACCCGTCACTCACGAATCTCATGAGGTGCACAAAGACAGCAACATCCCCGGTTTTGCCTTCGACGAAACTTGATGTTGCCCACCACCCGCTGAAGTAACTTGTTAAATATACGTGCAAAACACGATACGCATAGTTGATCTATTCATGATCGCACTATGTACGGTGAGATGGAAATTGCTCAAGGTCAGCGATGTAGCATAAATACGTGTACCATATATGAAAGATATGAAGGGTAACAACTATGCTTTAGCAAACATGTATCGTAACGTAATAGTTAACAACCAAATGTGAAACCGTTGTAACTTGGCCACTGGTTGTCGAAGATAAAGCTCGTAGCTTTTTCGTTACCGGCGCACATTCTACGATTTGACGGAATGCGTAGTACGGTCGCCAAATTTTTAACGCAACTTTTCGGTCTAGCAGCACCTAGCAATGTTAGAAGATGAAATTTCCAAAAAGATACTATGAGGGCATTTCAGCCATTGACTAATACACAGCACCATATTTCCTAATCTCTGCTCTTCTACAACTGAAGCAGCCCCTCGATGTGACATCTCTTAAACAGAGCCAATCGTGTTTGTATCGGCAATATGGATCAATTTCAATCAAGGATTCACTATATTAGAGTGCTATTTGTATAGCTACGCTTGAAATAGGAACATACTTTCGTATTGGAATATGTGCAATAATTGCATATGATGGAATAACATGTTTGTACCTGTACAGACTTGGGCATTCCAAAGACGCTTTTGAACACGGGTAGGATGGTGGTTTGGTATTCATCCGGTGACGAATCGTCGATCATAAAGAGTAGAGGTTGCAGTGTGGCAGCGAGCACTTCCGGAGACTGCAGCTCCGCCTGTAGCGACGGTAGAATATGTTGCCACCATAGTTTCTACGATAAAAGAACAATTGACAAAATATAGCATGATTATAACGATAGACACTAGCTAGAGTTCGTTGTAGAAACATATGTTTTACTCATTAGTCATATCTAACATAGGTAAATATCTACGGGGCAACGACTGGTCGCCGTACATGGTTCTGCTAAGCGGAATATTTTCACGAGAAAACACGAAAACGATTTTTCAACTCTAATTTCCTAAAAGCTTACTTTTGTGTTATTTTTAACGATAGTGGATCATTAAAGGCAAGCCTCAAGGCAACCAAATGTCTATAATATCGTGTGCTTATGCAATACAGACGTACATGTGAGTACACCGAGGGCATTCGTGACCTATTTCAACATTAATCTACATCACAAGCGTATCAAGAGCTCGAGGACCATCTCGCATGTAGAACTAGCAAGTTTCGAACAAAAGTCCGTGTATACAGTACAGCATCTTATAGTGCTACAACATGTTGTAGCGTCAAAGGCTTCGCGCACAGGGTCCGACCCACTGCTGTGGCCTTGTCGACCACTGAATACCAGAGGAAAAGTGTTCGTCTCTGTTGGAAAAATCTGCTGATGTTTCAAGCTGGTCCCATTTGACGTCGCAAACGTCCCTTGAAAGCCGTAACTTCTCCATTTTTAATAAATATATATATATATATATATATATATATATATATATATAAATAATAACAATATATAATAACAATATAAAATATATATAATAACAATATAAAATAATAACAAATAAAAAGCAAGGAAGACGCAGCGTCGGGAATAATCTCAGAAAGTGGCCTGTGACGGTGCGTTTGGTTAAGTGGCGAAGAGCTTTCTAGTTTTATAGATCAATAATGAACCTGTACTGTATTATACTAACGATCTTGCCTAGTTCTGTTTTCTATTTAGAAAAGGAAATTGGCTACCACTATAGTGACTGTTCCAAATAGGGACCGCAGTGATGGCTATCAGGCGCTTCCGTTTGACTCGGTTGAACTCCTAATCATAAGAAACGATCAGGACCCAGCAATTCACAGACCAAGGCATTACGAGATAGCTGTTATTACGAAAGACTAGGAAACAACAAGTCATATTCGATGACACAATACGTTAGATAAGGTCGGCCTTGTGGACCGATCGGCTAGGTTTGATTGTGCAGGACAACTGGGACAACCCGGCGTCCCTACCTTTGGTATAGCGGGCAGGGTTTGTTTGAGATTGTGGTAGTAGTGTGTCTTGTGGGTGGAGTCCTTCATCTGGATCACGTCAAGATATTGTAGTGCATGGACGCCTGGATCCATAAAATACTTGATCTGTAAACCAGAGCAAACATTGAATATTTGAGGTTTATATACGCTTTACACAATTAAGCATAGTCACTTGATGTCTCCAAAGGGAAATCGAGTGGGATAATGCTAATATTGGGTTTAAATATTGTTTGAAGTCTTCAATCTTACTCTATGTTAGCTATATGTAAAGCGGAATTGCAATCTGTTTTCCCTTATCGTACCAACCGATGGACGTTTGATCAAGCGAGTTACTTTGAGGTCGCATGTACGGGTTTGAAAAGCTCGTACATGTGATGGTAGACTTGTAACCCGATTTAAAAACATTTAATTCAGTTAACAACCTTGATATATGTAAAGCAACAGCATGCACATATTAAAAATGTAAATACAAATAAGCAGTCAACTCTAAGTATGGAATACATAAGGTGTTCGCGAGTTAACATGGGCTATTTAGTAATGGACCTTTACAGGGAATACTTTATAGGAGAAAACAACCAAAATACTGTTTTTTCCGCTTGCAATAAACAGCTGAAGTGTCTTCTGTCATCCACTATAGGTGTGCGCATTTGTATTTTTTGAGAAAAAAAACTGGCCAACTTCTTGTAGAGAGAGTCATTTATCTTGATATATTAACAAATTTCTTGTAGACCTCAAAACCGGATAGTCTATATATTAAGATTTAAACCTCCTTAACCGCCAGCTCGTCTATTTCATTTCTACACCGTGTACATCCATGGTTACGTCCATATATACGTTAGCTATTCAGGCGATTTAGTGCGTTGGAAATTTGTCAGTAATAAAGAAAGCAGTCGGGAAAAACAATGACAATCGTACGGTAGACGCCAGCGCCTTAGTAACGAAGTGCTTTCCCCAGAGTAAGGAGCACTTTTAGTTGGTGGCTGACACTTTAGGCTTAACACTTTCATAAATTGGTCGCGTAGGTAAGAAGTAAGATAGTTCAAAAGTAAGGCAAGTGGAGAAACGTCGTACATTTTGCCTACTATACTATCCTTCGGGCTGGCCGGTATATACTTACGTAAATATAGAAAGGGATTGTCATAATGAACATGGCGCCGGCGACTTCCACGCATATGGTGGGTGTGGATCGATAGCTACTACTTCTCGATTCTCTACTATTTCCACACGCATCTCCAGACAGTCAATATCCCCTGCGAGCCCTTGCGATATCTGCTTATTGCCCTTCGTCTCTTCCTTGAACACGCACACACAGACGTACCCGCACACACATGCCTGTAGTAGGAGGATGCCATCTCCAAACCATTCAGGTAGTAATCAAGATAAATCGACTGCGAGGGGGAACTCCCTCGTGGGAGCAGAAGTGCAGAGGATAGTCCAGGAAAAGAAAGAAGAGGCCGGCAAACCAAAAGAGCTTAAAACGGCGGACTATCACAACTCAGCTATACTGGCTGCACCAAAAGGTAGCGGCAGACGTAACTGCCGCACTGGCAGTGTTGTTGGTAGTGGAGTAACAGCGTCGTCGACGGTGCAAGTAGGACCAGGACAACAAACCACGCCAATGCAGGGAAGAGTGGTGTTCAGGGTCAAGGGGGCATTGGGATAGGTAAAGACTTCCAAGAGGCAGGCGTTGCCACCAAAAGAATCGCCTGGATCTCACAAGCTGGCGGGGTACTGGGAGTTGTCCAAACGGCTCGGAACTACAGAAGTATTACCAAAGCAACCCGAACAAATCGGACCGGAGAACGCTCTGATGATGCAAACGAAGCTGCAAGCAACTGAATCGCGTATTGGTCGTATTGACGCAGGGGCAGGAGCAGACGTTAGGTGAGCTAGTAACTCCCGTCAAAGTTGCGGCCACAGCCAACAAAAAGGGGAGTTACACGAACAGAAGGTTGAAATGAGGGTAAGTAGACAGCAGCAGCAGCAGCAGCAGCAGTGATTGTGGGTATCATGTTGTTTACAAAGATTCGTCAGCTATGAACGTAGTGGACAGGAGCAGCAAACAGAAAGAAGTGCCATACAGCCAGTGATGCACAAGCCTTAGACTGCTGTACAATTCTTGTTGTTGAAACAGGAAGAGCTGTCGTGTTCAGAAACTGCGATACAGGCACGTACGTTCATGCGCGAAAAAAAATTTTACCAAAAACTACCCACGACGCTACAAGGCACGCTCGATGCAAAAGCATAGCAAGTACGACGAAAAAATGTGAACCATCTGTACTCTTGTATGATGTCACACAGGCATTCTGCCAGTGCTGATGCGCTGCAAAGGGCATAATATATAAAGGTCAGGCAATGGAGAACAAGCTCATTGAAGCATGCGACATTAGAGACTATAACAGAAGCGAGTGCTTAATTAAGATCACACAAGTAACATAACGCATCTTTGTATTGTGTAATTCTCCATCGGATACACCAATCCGTCTATGGGCTGTTGAAGGTCTGTTTTCCAAATCATAATACATCACTCATTGTAAAAGTAAGGTCAAGCCTTGTGTGTATATGTAATCTACCTAGCGGATAGTGAAATGTAAACATTTGAAAATCTGTTATTCATTTGTTAAATACAATGTGCTTTCTCTATCTTTCAGCATAGCATTGTGTGTAAGTCTGAGCGGGTACAAGCCCGTACTTCGTGGACACTTATAGCCTGCATCATAGTTGAATTGTTTCGTCATGTAACCTTTCCACTGGGGAGGGGGAGGTACTCAGGGTGACACGTTCAAATTGAAACATATTCTGACACAATGGTTTCAACTGTTACCCCGGTGTTAGATAAAGTCTGTTTTTTTTCCAGACCTTTTTAGCAAACAATAGCGCGCCGTTTTCAGAATTTGAGGAAATTTAGCTATTAACCAATTCCTCTGAGCTGTACAAGCTGCCTCCATGACTAATAACTTTTGTCCGAAATCGACAGTCTGCATTATTGCCATTTAAAAATTCGAGAATAACTTTTATGAGACGAACTAGAAGATACTTTGTAGAAGTATTTGAGAGAGGCCTGTTAGCAGCTTAAAATTTAATACCGTTAGAATTTTTTGCAAGAAGTGACATCAGTCGCTAAAGTTAATGTCTCGCAATACCGCTTGACGCTCGATTGTTATTGAAAAGTTACTACTGAAAGAATAAAACAGAATATTTTGAGAATTATTAGTCAGGTATTTGTGTCCGGAAGCTGTAAATAAAACCTTCAGATATGAAACTTTTTGCACGTATAGAAAAATGTTTATAGTAAACAATTTTTTTCTATATAGATACAGCCTTCGAAACAAATCGTAGGTAAACTTTCTAATTTAGGCACGCCACCCTCCATATCTGTACGCAGAAGCGGGACCTGGCTTAGATTTTATGATGAATGGTGATGCTAACGACGTGTGAAGACGACGTTAAAGCTCGTAACGGCAAAAGAACTCACGATAGAGAAGTTTCGCGAGTTGGGCCTTCGCTTGGCGTCCATGTTGAGCAGACCCTGGAGGGGCTCCTGCAGGTGGTGGGGGATTTTCTCCAGGAGGGAGTGAAGGTTCCGGTCCATCTGCAATTGAAAAAAACAGTGTTGTTACCACATTCATGACTACGATATAGCTCACGGCATGCGCTTCACAGCAATATCGTATTCCGAAACGCACTAAGAATAGCAGAAAGATGCTGCTGGTCCATTTTCTATTTTTGGATTAAATAATTAACCCAAGAATAGAAATTAGAGGATGTGCCAAAAATAACAGCCGTATTATTCTGGAAAATGTAGCTATGCTTAACGCCCAGAACCGCCGTTAGGTAATCCATCGTTGTTAATAGCCGCTAAACAATTGTTCCTAATTCAAATATCTTGCTGAAATATACCCAGCCGCATCGTGTATTTATGGCCGTGTTTCTTGCCAGCAGGCAGTACACTGCCCAGGCTTGATGCAGGCAGGCATCTCTATTCTATGTATAAGTACGCATGAACTACATATGTGAGTTACAGCCCAGTAAAGATATTTGCTACGTTGGACGGCGAATGAGGCTTGTGTGTTTAAAGCGCTAAATTATCGTGGTTTTTTAACTTTTAAGTGAAAAGGCAGTAAAATACAAAGGGATTCGAAGCTAGGATAAGGGCTTATAAGCTAGATAAGGTACGAAGTAAGCTTATTCTGAATGCTTGTTTTTACTGCCCTTGCCCTCTAGTACTTCGCGCAAGGTTCACTGAAAGACAATGACTCTGACACTGAAGGGATAGGACGAGCGCCCTTAAATCGTTATTTAATCTCTCCTTAAGTATTTAAATTCAATGTGATAAAACGCTGTATGTTCTGCAAGTTGTGATCTCAATTCTTCCGACTCAACCGTGCATAAATGAAAACATCATCCCTGATCAGAGACTTCGTAGATATAGCGTGAACACATATAGAAGTACGCATAAATGCGTACACAATTTTTTTTATATGGTGAATGTAATCCTTCAGATGATGAATAATTTATACGAAGCGATCGCTGACCAAAATAAAGCAGCATTCAGATATACCGTTACTGAACTATAAAATGGTACCGATTGTGTTGAGGAAACGCAAGGAAATCCTTTAGCTGCGTAGAAGAGGAACACAGTAGTAAAGCGTGCACTTCAAGTCCGAATTGCATTGAAAATGTTGGATAACTTAGTCACTACATGGAACCACACTTGCAAAGTAATATAGTCGACGATGGGCTTTATATTATGAAATTGAACTGGACGTTACCCGCAGATAGTTCGATAACCAAGGGGTGAATTTAATACTAGTTAGAGCTAGCGATTTTATCATTGTCGCAGTGCACTAGCATGGAGCACTCGTCACAGAATATGTGACTACTCTGCAGGGCACTTGTTATAAAAATCGAAAACATCGTACGCTCTTGTTGTACTAGTATCCTACCAAAACAAGTCGATGGAGCAGACCATTCTCCAGTGGCTCTGGTCGGGTCGAGCCTACCGGGTTCATGCATATTCAGACCCAGATTGGACTCAAGGTATCCTTTGGTCGCAGAGGGCAACGTACGCATCGAGGGGCACTGAAGATATCTGACGAAATAAATGTTATCACGGGAAAAGGGAGAAGGGGTCTGTGGTCGTTCTACAAGACACAAACGTAATTGATATATTGCCGCCGAATTTGACAAAACTAAGAGGGTAGGACAAACTACGTTTGTGCAATTTGTAGGATTAACATTTTTTGAGTGCTTTGTTTTAGAAGATTTCTTTTGAAATTTAGGAGGGAGGAAGGCAGGCCTCGTATTCTCAATGCATTTTTCCTAATGGAGCTGGTTGTTGGAGAAATAGGAAATTTAGCAACGGAACTGTTCTTTCTTTTTGATTTCGAAACACACTATGTCGGTTTAATGTTATAAATTAATAATTATTAATTAACTAGTGTGCTAAACAGGGATTATTTTAGAGATGTAACTTAGGCCTGCCAGGGTCGATCTAGCCTCATTTTGCCGAACTATCGTTGCGTATGCAAGTATAATATACATGAGTTCAGACAGTGAAAACCTCTCTGGACTATTCGGTATTATGTACAAATATAGAACTTTGAGAATGCGATAACTATTTCTAACAATAGTTCTTCTCGATAAAAGCCCAGTTGCTTTCTAAATAAATCTAATAAAACTTGACATACATACACTTTAGTTAGTTAGGAAAGTTATCTTTCATAGCATTTTCGTTCCGACGAAAAAGCAGAAATGTTTTTTATTACTACCTAGAATTTATGTTAAACAGTTAGTCCCTCAAATGTACGTGGTAAACGGGCAGTAATTGAATGCAGTTGGCACAGGTAATCACTAACAAAGTCTTGAGTTTAACATTGGAAACTTTTGATTCGAATCAATTTTAAATTACTTTAGCTAATTTAGTTTCGTTAGTTATTTAATCACCGTCCTGCAATTAGGTAGCTAAAGCATCCTTGTAAGTTCCAAAAAGTAATCATACGGATTTGCCTAAGGTTTGAGGTTAATGAGGTTACTGTCTCGAACCGGCGATAAAAATTTGATAGTGACGATCATGGAACCTCATGATTGATTTCTTCAGCTTCTCTATAGCTTCTTGCGGCTGTGTTTACCAAAAGTTCTCCTGCAATTTTTTTTTTTTATGAATTCTCTATTATATAAGAAGGACCGTCAGAAAAGCTACTCTCCTACCGTGCAATCAGTGACAACGTAAATGATTACGAAAAAAAAAAAAAAAAAATAGTAAACACTTTAGCTGCTTTCGTTTTTAAGTGTAAAAGCAGCTTCTTCTCTACTTAATAAACATGAAGGTACTAAGTTTCCGACTTGGAATTAGGAGCTAAATAAAACGGGATGGAATCAGGACGAAAGCTTTCAAATCGATAAGCAGAGAATAGAATTGTTTCATATTGGATACCTGGGCGAGTTGGACGCATTTAGCAACCTGGACAGGCCAAAAAAAATGATAAAGAAGGAACTAACTCTGCTAAGGTGCTGGCCAGTATTGCGCTTGTTGAATAGACGGCCAGAAAGGCTCATACTAGTATAATTTCTACTAATCTAAATCTTTTCTAACTGCACGATCAATCTCTAAATCATTTAGCATGCGTAAAAAAAAGTATGTTGTCTATGCTGTGCATAGAGCCTTAGGTAGGCGCACTAAAAGATGCTTAGCTGCTAATATTGCCGGTATAACATGCCATGGTTTGCTATGAATAACTAAAACGAAACGAACTATATAAAATATCTTTTGAAAGGGGAAAAGGCCTTTGTCTACGCTAACAGGCCGTTGGTCGCGCCTATTATAGCCGACACGTTTGTATCAGTAGTAACCATGATGGAACTATTTACGAAATAAGGTTATTGGTAAGTTATTTATGGAATACGAATGTCTGCGTCAGCTATTCGCGGAATATCGACGTAGCGACAAATACATCGTTGCTTTGTTTTGGGTACATTGAAATCAAAGCTCTAACTTCACGTTCAAGTCCCATAACAATATTCCGCCCATATTCTTTTGCCAGTCATTTGTCAACACTGAGCATATAATGGTACCGTTTTAATTCATACATGATAACAATTTGTATAGTCAGCAACTATTTAACAAAACATATATTTGAAAATAATCTTAAATTTAATGTAGTACATGAAATTCAATATAGCGGTCTTAGTAATAAATAATCAGTATATGACAATGGTTCTCGAAATCTAGAATGCTGAATGCGAAGGGTCAATCATTTTTTCAGCGTTAGATTTTGACCTAAGATGACGCCCACTTGAAACGTACCTATTTTTAGAGGGGCTCTGTTTAAATATATACTCTGCATATATATAATGCCGATTTTTTCGTTGCACGCCATTTCAGTAAATAGTCAGTACGACCGACTGTCCGCCCGCCCGCCCCCAAGATTCCTCGAGCCCAGATATTTAAAGAAACAATCAACCATGTATATTGATGAAACACGAGTGAAGCTTATAACTTTGATTTCGTTCTTAGCAATTCGTTTTCATGCTACAACGGATATATTGGGTACTTATTCAAGATCTATTGATTACTTTTCTGTACATCGTATATTAACATGTGGTCTTGCGGGTGGATTTCCTGTTTAACACATACTAGATACGCATAGAATCTAGGGCATATTTGATTATTTCCTACCTCTTCGATGCGTTGGGTGTAGATAGAAATTGACAATTGGCTCTCGAGCAGCGAGTGTCCCTGGTTGAAGAGTGCTGTAATGAGCAGACCAAGCGAAAACATGTCGGATTGTGGCGAACATGAAGACGTGGCGTGCACCTCTGGCGCTGTGTAGTCTAGGTCGGGTTGACCCATTTTAGGTAGCTTTGACGTGAAGCCCTGACATCCTATAGGGCTCTGAAAAGCCAGCGGAAGAAGTAGAACTCGTTGAATTAAGTTCTGGCGAGACCAAAATTATCTCCGATATTCGAGGCAAGCGCAAACGGAAGATATATTGAAAATACTTCATAGTCGTCTATGGAAATTGAAGCATCGTAAACTATAAACCGATCGCTAGAAGCTCACTACGCTACAAAAACCATTCTCAAATCAAGTTATATACAACAATCTTGCAGTTAACTCTAATCACAAACCATTGGATCAGTTTCGTTGCATTTCTCAGAGAATTCGAATCCCGCGAGTTTCCAAGTGCCCTTTCGGTTGATAATCACCGAAGTGGGACATACATTGCGGTGGATAAGCTTCGCGTTGTAGTGCAGAAATAGCAGCGCTTCGGTCAGCTGCAGTAAACCGTATTTATACTCGATATCGAGAAATTCGTAATCGCGGGTCTCTTGTGCTATAGTTTGAGGAAGTCGGTCTTCAAGGCAGCCGAGCACATTAGCCAGACTCCCGAGAACTGGTTCGGTCACGAACGCCAGGGAGTCGCTGTGAATTACGATAGGATAGAAAAAATACAGTAGGTTTAAAATGCATATTATATCGCCCGTGGCGAAATCTGTCCGTCCGATAAAAGAGTCCAACAGTCATGTCGTTATACTGGATAATTCTTTCGGTGGCTTTCAAACGAATTCCTGATATTAGTGCCTATTATATATGGATAAGGTCCATTAGACTAATTTGAGGCTAAGTGAGATTAAATCGTCAAATAATAGATTTTTACGTTAGGTTTTTTTTGAGGTTGCATAAAGAACGGCGATTGTACGCTGATGTTCGATGGTGATGATGATCGAAAACCGATTTGGGTTCACATGGGCTCTATTAAATGATAGCTAGCAGTCGGCTCCTGTAGGCGGACGTTCACTAGAACAGGTCAGATGATGTTGAAGGTCGAGGCCAATAATGAACCTAAATGTTGGACACTCACCGTAGGACATTTTGAAATAGCGTAGGGATAAATGTATCGTGAGCGGCACACTTCTAGAGTTCGCCGAGCCGATGGCCGTGACCAACCATACTAGATATTCATAGATTATATCAATGTTGTTTTCATTCTATTCACCTCTTTGATATGATGTTGATTTTTGAAAAAGAAGGTGCGATACATTCTTGTTATATTTTACGATTTGGTTTTTAGCTGTCTCTCGCGATTACGCCGATTCAGGTCGGGCAGTATTTAGAAGGACGGACCAACGAGAATCAAATCCCCCCCCACGTGTGATCCTATATCTGTACCATTGTGTGTTTTACTGCGCATGACCATGGATTACGGCATTTTAACTACAATGTACTCAAGTTTTTTTTTTGATAGCACCACGACACTAATCATAACAATAGCTCGTGTTCGCGTAGCAATAGATCTTCTTTGATTCTCGTTGTACCTATTCAGGCCCGTTCTGGCTATCTACAATGTAACTAGAAACGAATGCAGATTTTTTGGCGTGCTTGATTGCCGTAATTTTGTTACGTAAACAGACTCGCGTATCAGTCTTCAGCGTACTCGGAAAACCTACTCGCCGTCGCCCTTCAGTGAGATAAGGAGTCCATCTACAGACGGTTTTCGTAAGATTTGAACCCAAGATGTTTTCATATTCTTATTTCTTCCTGTCTAAGGGTATTGGTAAATTCACGATAAAGCTGAATTTTTTTAACCCCGAAACCGATCTCGAAAACACCCGTCTGTCTAAGCCGTCTACGGACTTAGCCGAAGTACATGTATATAAAACATCTTGGATGATCATACGACTTCGTGGACTAGATCAGTAGCAATTGGTATTCTTGTTTCGTGAATAATTAACTGTGTACACGGGCCTCGATGGGATAGGCTAATTGTTTATGTGCCGCTGGAGATCATTTGAAACACCATGGTGTGGTAGAACCCTTTTACACATTCCGTTACGATAAATGTAGATTATAATATGGCATTGCAAAAACATTTCTAAAAGGTCCAAATAGGACAGTTATACTGACGAAACTACGGTAAAGACCAACTCTTAACGAGAAATAAGGTGTTGTTCGTCCAGGCACAATCAAACAAAGTAAGCTATTGGGCACGCAAACGGAACCCGTTGGACCTCAATACTCTCTGACTGCTGTACACGATTGGCTACCGTTTGCGCTGCTTATTCACTATGAGCAATGTCAACATTTACTAGTGGCACTTCATACTCATGTTGCCATTACAATTGCACCCCAGCTACAATAGCAGGCACTGCAACATACCGGTATGTACATGTTGCCTCAGTAGCGGCATTGCCTGTGAAATGGCAAAGGATCACGGCTTTCTTCATCTTCAACAAAGGATCGACAGTTGGTCGTCCAGACTATTGCTATCTGCTCCTAAAGGCTACAGGACAGTAACAGGACTAGCTTGCTGTTGGCTGATAGAAGAGACAGAATTGTTTAGTTTTCGATCGTCCTCTAGCGTGTGACCGCTTCGGTGTGACAAGCAATATCCGTCTTTATGTTTTAGTGTCCATCAGTCCTCGGTCAGTCCTGCCGCACGAGTGGCAGACTGGTCGAATTTTTCACCATACAAGAGAATGACAGGAAAGCCAACAGACGATATATGCAAAAGAAAATGCAGGAACGCACACGTGAATCAAACGCAAAATTCCGTTGTTCTGCGTACTTTCGGCCAACAATATGAGTAGATTTAAGTAGGGCATTTGACCAGGTTATGAACCTAGCAGGCTTCAAAACATCACCTACGCCGACAACAAAAATCGATTTGTACCTCTGGCCTAACCCGTAACGCAGTATGTCAGTGGTGAGCCGTCAAGTTGTTGGAGACGGGTCAGGAGCCTAAAAAACGTCGAGACAAGGGCATTGCCTCGGGCAATACACGCGCTTGGCGATTGGAGCTCGCTGGGTAAATTGACACTGCCTAAGCAAAATCACGCAAAGGAATATGCTATCAAGGATCTATTCCACGATTGTCCTGATGGTGGTTTTTGCTGAAGAAAAATGTTACGCGAAGATTCACTTTTGAAGCGGTTTATAATCTCACTCTTGTCGGCCAGAGCGGCCTATTCACATGAGCAAATTTTTCAGAATACGACAACACTGTATAGTATATATATATATACTACTTGCGTACTTTTATATATATATATATAAAAGTACGCAACGGCCTCAAAAAGAATAGAAATCATCTAATCGTTATCTAATGAATACTAACGAACAATTATATTCTTGTAACTCACTTGGCCTCTTCGATAGGATGCGCGAGTGACAGGAGTTTTGGATGTTTGTGGCGCTCGAGTTGGCGAACACCAAAGCGTAGAATTTCCGTTATTGTCTCTTTCCGTTTTGGCTTGTGAAGTTTTTCTGCGACCTTTTTCTCGAAGAAAAACACTGAGCAATCCTGCAGAAAGGCAAATACGCGTATTGCGTTAAAACTGAGCTCATCTATGAACACTAGGGTATGCTGATAGCGCATTACACATCCTACTACTTTAAAAACTCGTATATGGTTTTCATTTGCCTTTCATAAGCATATACAGAGCGATAATGGAGTCGGTAAGAAAAATTGCTTAAAATTCTTAGGCGTTGTTAGGAATTGTCAGGCGGCTGTTTTTCTATATGTCAACCTATGTTTCTATAATTATAAATAATTTGTCCTGCTCTATTGTAAACCTATTTTTGCCTTTTCCTTTTTTCTATACATATTAGTCAAGCTGGCATAAAACGCATATATTCAATGTACGCCTATTTTTTGTCTATTTAAAAATCATAATGGATAAATTTTACAGTTGAGGTAGTTAAAAACGCTGCGAAGGTTTTTAGTGATGAGAGCAGGTGAAATGGCCAAGTGTCTATTGCGTTATAATATGTCCTTAATTCCAACGGTTAGGCTTCAATGATCCTTTACGATAGTTGGTTGGGTATATATAACTAGCATAATCAAGATTACATTTTGGAACTTACTAATCGTCGAATCTTTAAATTCCGGACAATTATAATTTTATCATAAATTTTTCAAGCAGCAGCTAAGTGTACATAGCGATGGTCTTTCCAGAAGTGTACAGGGAATAAAGAGCGCTCAAGCTCGCTCCAAGAACGCTGCTCAGACAGAAAGCTACTTTCGTGTACGATATATAAACGATTACGCTTTTAGGCCACTCTGGTAACCTAGTACGTACGATTACTTATAAGCCCATTTGTTGGATTTCGTTGCAGACCAAATGAGACCTCCTTTATCATTGCAGACGACTGTTGTTTACAATTATATCGATGCATGTAGATTCGTTCATTCCTAGCCCATATAGAATAATAATCAGCCAAGGCACTTACTTCGGAAAACTTTGTTTTTGTTTGTTGTTTGCTATTGACCATGGTCTATGTGTTGAATGCACAGGTGCAAGGTAACGTGATGGACATAGTACCTTGACGCTGATTAAAAGGGGAATTATCATTTAAGTCCATCGAAACGCAAATATTATCTTGAAACGTCGAAAGTAAGTATTATTAAGTTCAGAAAATAAATTGTCAAATACATATATAAACGAATCAAGGGCAGTTCATCATAGTGCACGTTTCGCCGCCCTAGTACCAATCAGTACAGACGGCTGATGATTTGCTAAGCTCCTAAACGTATTCAACTTGACATTATATATATGTATATAATATTTTAGAGTAATTATCCTCCATAACTATTTATCAATGCCTAATTACCACACACTGAGGGAAGCAATACAACGGTGTTTGATTGATTACCGTATTCTATTTTTTCATTTGAACTATGATTTCCATCAACGGTGGGCATTCATCCAATGGACCATTAACGCCCACCATCGGAACCAACAATAGCATTTGTGAATGTTCGCGAGTTCGAAGAAATGTGTGCATAGATGATGTGTCCCAAACGCCAATGCACTTCCGGACATCATCGTCGACCATTTTCACTCGGGATAAGTGTGGAAGAACGAAACGGCATAGCCCCATAAGTCTCATGTAGTTGGAACGCAATGCGCAATATGGCCTACTGTCTGTTCCCCTTTTGCGTCGCTCGCGCAGGTCGAAATCTTTGAGCTCGACGCGTCGAATTCGATGAGGCTCCTGCAACACAGGCAGACAACAGGCTTCTCTAGGACCAAACAGGGCACTGGAAACAAAGCAAAGTAATGAATGTAGCTGAAATGGGCCGCAACGGGAGTGACATGGTTTCTACAGTCACAGTATTACGGCAGCCACATTCAGCTGGAATGCCTGTCACGGCACAGCTCTAGAGATAGAAGCCGGCGCAACCAACGGCATTTCTCCAAAACTTAATCCAAAGCAATCAACTTAATGGAGCGAATCGGCCAAAAATAGTGTTGCAAGTTCCTCAACGTATGGAGCATGTCGACTTGCTCTTCATCAAACGAAATTTGTCTGAGGCGTTCAGGGTCGATTTGTAGTCTGCGCGCGTCAGTCGAAGGTCGATACCCTTGTATAAAATGCATTTAGAAGTCAGAACAAACAATTAATCGCATTAGGTAAACGTAATGGCTCAACGTACCTTAAACATCATTTCCTCTTAGACTATATTCTAAATGATAGTTTTAGTCGAGAGAAAGCGTAAGAGGTTGTATCCTGCAAGGCAGATCAACCTAACCATGCCAGCAGTAAACTATGCAGTAAGAGGAAGATGTATTTGAGAAACCTTTTCAAGTCTTCTGGATTTCACGTTTGTTGTACGTTCTGCTGGAAGATTACGTTCCAAATACAAAAATGTATCCCAAACTATAGTAATGCGGTGTAACGTCTGAGTTGAATGACGGGTTTGGTGTGGATTATATTTCGTGTGACAGTGAGCTGACAACATGTTTACCTAATAACCTGAGCAAAACGTAAAGTGATCCAGGTTTGTAGCTGGGCTTAGACAGGCAAACCTCCTTCATGCTGGTAGCTCGCAGTCTTTAACTAATGTTTAACGACCAGTATCAAAAGTAGGACCCGAAACATTTATGCCTATATGCAATGAGATCAAATAGTGGTTTAGCCATACGTACTTGTAGGTTTTACAGAATGCCCTAAACGTGAGAAAAGTAACTCTATTCAATTTGTCCTCATTGATTACAGGGACTACTTAAGTTGTTAAAGAACCGGTTTAGAATTCACTCATAGTAGGGAATAGTTGCCTGTTAACAGATTGCTAGCCATAACAATAGTCTGTCTACAAAAACGTACCTTATCAACAACAAATAACAATGACAACGGCAGTTGTCATTAGTTGTAGTTAGTAGTAGCAGTTGAAGATAATAAGAAAAAAGCAAAAAATAAATAGCCCTTATTTATTGCAATACCTTAACCTAATGGTCGTACAGCCTAAATTTGTTTCTTTTGCGCAGCACTAGACAACGGTGCCTCCCCGTAAGCTTCTGCGACAGTTTGTCTTGCGTACAGTTGCTACTTTCCCCGATTACTTAAGAATTGCCTCCCGCCCAGGTCGGCATGCGTAGATCTGTTCGAAGGCGCGTTACCTGCGTCCCTTGTTCGTGACTTTAGAGCCACACGTTATCTTTCCGTTAAGATTTACTTTATTGTCCTTTCTTTCTATCGAGCTTTTTTCTCTCTATGTTTTCTTTCTCAAAGTACGTTTTTCCCTGACGATCGCATTTAAAGCATCCTGTAAGCACTGGAGTTATTTCCTGCTTTAAACCAAAGCGATCCTAAGCTTTTCAACATGTAGTGTTAGCTAAGGCAACATCGCTAGCGTTAGCCGGTGCTGGTAGAAAGGAAAAGTTTTACATGCCTCCTAACCAAGCTGACACAAGCCTGTTTTCCATCTCATACCCCCCCCCCCTCCCTCCCCTTTTACGCCCACTCTTTTGTGCCAGTTTCGTCACTATCTTGGGACGAGATGACGACGAGCTTGCACTGTGTAGATCCCGGACCGCTGCTATTTGCTTGGCAGCTGCCCTCCTGCCGAAACTACTGTTGCTATTATCGTGTCGAGCTCTGCTATCCGTCCCTCGTCCGCTTTTGCCTTCGGCCTCTCCTTTTTTACCTTCTATTCTAACACTCTTTTGCCCCAATAGTACCATCGTTATTATAAGAAAGCTAGGCCAAGGCTTAGTACATGCGTGAAGAAGCGCATTGCCACTGTGGTAGGGGCGGCTCCCAACAGGGGTATTCTTCATAGTGGGGCCATCTTTGGACGTTCAAGGGCTTCCAAACAGCGACGAATGCAATAGATAGCAACTTTTTTCCGCCTGCTGTTGCCTGGCTGGTACTTCGGTTCCTTGCACCAGCTTGTACACCGTCCGCCTTTCCGCCTCCAGTTTTTTTCCGCCTTCTCGCCATCGCTCTTTGACAAACGGACCAACGTTGTGTTGCCCACCGCATGTCGTTCTATTGGCTCTAACACGCTAGTTCTTTCGTTGGATGCGGGGAAGGTTACGAGGGGCTCTTCGCTCGCCCCGTCTCATTCTTGTCCGCTTTTAGTGTTGTCACCATATCCGCATTCGGCATCGCCTGGGCCGCGTTCTCTTGTCTACGCATCTCGTCCACTTGGTCGGTCGGTCGCTTACTCGTCTCTGTTCGACTTTTTCGTCTCCAGTCTTTTTCGAGGATGCCTTATATCTAGGTAGCATCTTTTCATTTTTCCTATTTTTGCTCTATTCAAGAACATGCTGCTAGCAGTACTACTCACAAGGGATGTGCGATGGCGTCTTGCTACTACTTGGCGAGTGCTCGTTATCGCCGTTGCCGCCGCTGGCTGGCCCGTTCTTGTCAACTATTCCACGGCTTTTTGTTAGCCGATCGGCGTTAGTGGCGGCGTATGCTTGCCTCTGGGGAGACCACGAGCATGGAACCGCCGTTCGCTTGACCGTATAGTGGCAGTCATTCTGGCTGCAGTTTAAAGGAAACGGCACTGTTAGTATGTTCTCAGAAGAAGCCGCCACCAACATCAGCAAGGCTGCGTCACTTCAGCCGTTTGCCGGAGCGACGGGGACGCCCGAAGCACGTGAGGTAGCAAGGCCACCGTGCCTAGCAGCCGCGTACCTTAGCGAGCCGTTCTGCGTTACCCCACTCAGCCCAATTCACCTTTAGTTCCTTAATCTACTCCGTTACGTCGTGCGCCTCTTAGCAGACGTGCTGACTTGCATCTACAGTGATTAAGGTCAATTTTGTTGACGGTTTTCTACAGTCAACTTCTTACGCCCTTGCATCACAGACTGTAGCTGGATTAGACCGCTATTGCTTCGACGTGGCTTTCGTACTTCTAGTTTGCTTCGTACCAGTCGTTGATAACAAGGCATTGAACATTCTTCTGTTACTAAGTGTCTATATATGACTGCATTTGATGTTGACGATAAATGCAGAGCTTCCTTAGCACGACAGATTCTACTACACAGTTCGAACTACACTTTGATGTAC